TTATAACCCTACTTATAACTACCCCTGAACCTCCAAGTGGGGCTTTGTGGATTTGGGGTTGGGAGAGATTTGGCTGTGAGGTGGGAATAGCAAGATCCAAGGGGTTCCTAAACTAACTCTACCCTAGACTTAAAGCCTTATGGTCGCCCTCCAAACTCAAATTTCTGGCTTTAGCACATTCGGGTCATCCTTGGAACTCCTTCTGCGTTCTCTCGTTAATGGGCCTTCTTGACTGTAAGTCCATAAGCGCGGAAATAACGGCCTGAAGCATAAGTAATACCGCCCTTTCTCGTCCGCGTCAAAAAATCTAGTGCAATGAACCCCGAAACCCTGGTCTAGTCATCAAAGCCCCTATATAGGAGACAGCGCAACACTAAGCTCGAAACCCAAACTTGCAGCCCCTGCATACCCGCCTCTACACCCCTACCTAGTCTATACCTTATGATGGTATAGATTTTGGGGCTTAGGGTAGCCACTCCTTCCTGGTTGTATCCTGTAACATCCCCAGAACAGTTGGCAGCTGCTCGGAACCTCTCTTACTACCTGGAGGGGCAGGGGACTTAGTAAGTAAGGTTATAAATAGGGTTATAATTGGGGTAACTCCATTTAGGATAACTCTACTTATAACCCTACTGACGTAGTCCCCTGCCCCTCCGAGTATCCTTTCAGCGGATCCGCCGGAGCTCTAGCAGCTCAGCCCTACGACAGAATCCTGAATAACTACGGTTGATGATATAAGTCCTGCATTACCTTAAGGACCCTAAAAAAAAAAAAAAAACGGTATATTGCTTATTAAGGGTAGTGCAGGATTTATATCATCAGCCGTAGCAATCGTATTCCCCAGGGTTCCTTGTTACACTTTCGCTATGCGGTAATGTACTCCAAACCCTGTTCCAATCAATGAGCCCCTACGTACATTACACCCCGAGTCCAAACCCGACCCTAAAATACACTGAAAACCCACACCCTCAAACCCCAAACCGTCGACCCTGGAAGCTCAAAGCCTGAGACCCCAAGCCTCTGAAAGCTCAAACCCTCTAACCGTAAACCGCAAGCAGCTTAAGTCGAATATAGGGCTCTGAACAAGCGGCAATACATTTAGGATTTAGGTCTAAAGGATTAACGGGCTTTTCGGCTTCGGGGCTTAACATTCGGGGCACGCGACTGAAGCCGCAAACTCCCCTCCTGATAAAGCCCGCCTTGAACCCCGTGAGCCCCACAAACTCACAAACCCACAAACCCTAAACCCTAAGCCCTAAACCCCACATGCCTGAAGCGGCTCATGATCTAGATTTTGGGGCGTGTTTGCTATTGCGGGTTTGGGTTTTGACTTGCAGCCAAGCGAGCAAAGTCTTACCGTTGCAGATTCTGCAGTGGGAGTTTCGTCAGAACATGTTGCCGTACTTCACACGCCGTCTCTTCAGGGTTTCAGGACTCGTAGTTGTTTGTTCTAACGATGCTACAACTGCATGGGCTTTGGCGGTTTAGATTAGGGTTTAATTCAGCGTCCGGTAGAACACATTGCAGTCCACATCCCAGTCTAATGTTTAGAAGTTTAGACTGTCCTTATATACTAATGCATGAGGAGTGCAGGGTCGCGTAGTCGCATTTTGGGGATTCAAAACTCTGCTGACAGGTGCAGCCGCAACAGCAGAAGAGCAGCAAGGCACTCCTGATCCCATCGGGTAAGAGCGTATAGAGGTTTAGCATTAGGGCTTACATAGGGTATCAGGAGAGTTTTGGGTAGGCCTTGCATGCAGGCTATGATGGGTGTATTACAGTGCTGGAGTTTTTAAGCACAAGCATCCTACTTACTTTAATTGAGATGAAGCTGGGGCAGCAGACAGACAAGACTAGCATGGTATGTTTTCCGATTGGTGCTGCATCTTCGACCAGGAGAAGCTGCAAGAGTCGTGAAGTCAAAATGCTCATGGTGGGCTAGGATTTAGGATTAAGGGCATTAGGGTTGCCCAGGGATACCGGATTTAGGTTCAGAGACTTGGGGAGAAGAGTTTGAAGTGTGCGTTTTTTTTTACTGTGACCGAATCTCCCAATGATGCGGGATGCATAGGGTTCAGTGCCCAGGGCTCTCGGACCCCCGTGCTACGCCGCGAATGGTCGGGTCGCATACTGCCGTGGCATCCTGGCATCGAGAATGCGGCGTGGAGGCTGATCCAGCAAACGAAGCCACAGCCAGTACGGCAGCTCTCGATCTCGCAACAGCACCAAATTCGACCTTAGACAACCTTGGTGTGATTACAGCTGTTTGGCGGTCCGGTCAAGCTGGCACCCGAGATCGGGAGACTCCGTCGCTGAGAGTTGCACTTGCGGGTGCGGCGCTTCGTGCATCTCTCAGTGCAGCAGTCGACCCTGAGTTGGCGATGCCCTTGTTGCGTCTAGATCGCTGCATTCAGACTGTCTCAGCAATGGCTGGTGACCGCCCAGTCGGAGCATATGATGCCAAGGCGGCTACCGACGGGCAATCCGACTTCTCGCACGCCGGATTCCGGCTGTTCGGCCGCCGGTGATTATCTATCCAGACGATGAGTCGGATCCGATCATCGATCTATCTGTCTGCCTACATATACACACACATAGATACATACATACATGCATCCGTGCATGCATACATTTACATGCATACATGCATGCATACATACAAACGTACATACATATGTACTTCTAGAGCTACCTTCATGCATGCACGTAGATCGTGTTGGATATTTCTATGCCGGTACACGTACATAAAGTATAGATATCGAGTTTAAGACGACCATTCAAGCATATAACCTCAACGCCCCCTCCTACACCCTAGACCCTAAACTCTATACTCGAAACTGCCGGCATCAGGTGTTGAAGCTATGCTTCTGGGCCGAGGCGATGCAGTTGAAATCTGGAGCCTTGAACTCCAAAGCTTTAAGGTTTCGAGGTTTCAGGGTTTTGGGGTTTAGGGTTTAGGGTTTTAGGGTTTAGGCTTTAGGGTTTTAGGGTTTAGGGTTTTAGGGTTTAGGGTTTAGGGTTTCGAGGTTTTAAAGTCTATGGGCTTCCTTCCAGCCACAACGCTTCGATTTCGGGGGTTCAGACTTTAAGGTTTCAGAGTATGGTTCACTCCGGGGTTGAAGCCGTAAAGATCCCGAGCCGCTTCGAGGTTTGGGCCTTTGCTGGGAAGCATTCCTTCATCCAGAAGAGTTGCGGGAGAGTTGGTTTTGGAGAGCCGGTGTTTCGGGCTTCGCAGTTCAATGCCTAATGGGCCTAATGCAGGTTTCAGGAATCATGACAAGAAGCAAAAGCAGCAACTCAACCAAGTGTTGCAAGAGCGGCTCTCATACGTGAACACAACAGACCATTCCTTATTCCGCATTCTGGTCGTCGTCGCCTTCGTCTTCGTCTGCCGTCTTCGTCGGCATCACCGTGAATTCTTCGGCGTCGTTGTTACCGACATCGACGCAAGCAGCTGTAGCTCACCATCGGTTTTAGTCATGCTTCCCTCATTTCTTCTAGCAGTGACACAGGTGCATGGTCGGCAAGACTAAATTCGACAAGCAACCGAGACACACAAACTGCTCGTAGCAAGAGTCAAAATGTACCAATAATCATCATCATCGTCATTGTCATCATCTCCATCATCATTATCATCGTAGAACTGTTGGTGGCGATGCTGCAGGATTACACATGCCTAGCCGTATGCAGGTGCACTACAACTCAGTGGCCGAGAGCTCCGATGGGAAATGCCCCTTCTGAACGTATCGAAACCGTTGCTTAGATCTGGTGATTCTCAGCGGCCTACACCCCAAAAGCCCAAAGGCCTAGATCGAAATATCGGGGTCCAAGGTTTTCCTAAACCCTACATCCTATATTGAGAACTGTCCATGACCTCTTCAAGTGGATTTCGGCCCTTTAGGCGGTCAGAATTGTCGAGCCTTGATGGTCTTTACTTCAGGGCATAGGCGAGAGGACTCCGGCTGACGTCATGTTTCACTGAGCGGGCTTAGGCCCTTGACGAGTGTCGGCGACGGCGGTTTCGAAAGAATCTCGAACTGTGGATCCTTTACCTTGCACCCTGATTGCGTCCAGATTCTAGCTACTATAGGGGCCTTAACAATGACCTAGACTATTTTGTGGGTTCCTTCTTATTTTTTGGTATAATGGGCCCCAAAACCCTATTCTAATTATTAAGGCCCCTAGATCATAGAACCCTACTATAGATCCCTTATAGTAGCCCTTATAAAGAGCCCTTTAACAGGAACCCCTATTCTAATTATTAAGGCCCCTATTAAATACCCCCCGAGAAATTTGTTGAGTCGGCCCCAGGGTCTCGATCCTCACGACGCTCGTGTTCCTGAACCATATGGGAGTTTCCGAAAATGACGGGTACCTTATTCCTTAGGGTTCCTTCAAAGGGGTACTATAAGGCTTCCTTTAAAGGGCTCTATAAGGGTTTTAGAGTTTCCGAAAACTAGGGGCACCTCATTTTGGGGGTCCCTACTATATGGGGTACTATACTAGGGTCCCCCATTTTCGGAAACTCCCATATGTGTGCCCGAAGCTCTGAAGCATGAACCTCAACTACAATCGATTATGCGCCGCAGACTCTAAACCCCAAAGCCTACTACAAGCCCAAAGCCCGCACCTGTTGAGGCAGCTTCACAGCTTCACACGTAGTGAAGCCCTGACGACGTGGGAAAAGATCCTGCACCCTATCATAATGTAAAACACGTAAAAAACTAAAGCACCAACAGACCGCACGAAGCATAAGGATCCTTGTTCTTTTAGGCTTGAGGGTAGCTTAGGGTTCAGATCGATCCTTAATCAGTCGACACTCAGTCCGGATACGCCAGACCGAAGCACGTCACCAACCCACGCCCCCGTCCACCGCAAGCAACAGCACTAAACACTAGAAGCAGTAAAAGAGTGCACACGCACGCATACTCAACCCTGAACCCTAAACCCCAAACCCCCACTCTAAATCCTAAACTGCACAAAACCACTCGACGGGTCAGGTGCAGACGGACGAGTCGGAAAAGTCGCGAGGCTATGGCTTTGTCCATTTCGCCGAGAAGGACCTTGGATATCGGGGTTCTTTTTCTTGTTATCACTCTTATTCTAATTCTCAGTCGTATTCATTCTGCTTAATATCCTTCTTGATCTGAATATGAGTATTACATCAATGTCATCATTATTATTCTTATTGTTCCTGTCTTTACTATTGCTAATATTATTGGATTGTTGTAATTGTTATAGTTATCGAAGAACACAAAAGTGTAAGAAGCATTAGTGCTATCATCATAATTATCATTGCAGAAGCAAACATCTTGAGCAGGAGTTGTGCTTGCTCTAGAAGAGGTTTACCAAGGTACCAAGGGCTGAAGTCAGGTTGTACCAGGGTTCTCTCTCTCTCTCTCCCCCTCTCTCCCTCTCTCTCTCTCTATCTCTCTCTCTCTCTCTGTCTCTCCCTCTCTCTCTCTCGCCCTCCCTTCCTTCGCACCAGCACCATGAAGTGGAAGCTGTGCAAGAATACCGTTACTGGGCTGTTTTCGATGCCTGCAGCCGGAGCTGCCCCTAGAGCAGCCCAAGGTGTCAGGTGTAAGACCGGGTTCTTGTTAAAGGGTTTTGTTTTATGTCACCATAGTAATAGTAAGGAAACCACATTTTTTACCATAGATCCCTATACGGTAACTTACTTTGAAAAAAGCCCTCTAACAAGAACTCAGAAGATCAGAGTTGTTTCGGACCCAGGTACAGAAAGCAAGCGCCCACCATAGAGGTGTAAAGAGGCTGTAATAAGATGCCCTTCTAGTTCCTATGTAGCCCTGTTATAACATGGTTGCATAGCATCTATAAGGGCATATAACGCGTCCATATTGGGGGCTCTTGAGATAGGGGTTGAAGTGATAAGGGTCCAGGGTTTAGAGTTCAGGCTTTCGGGTTTTATGGTTTGGGGAAGTCCTAAAACTGTTTGCACTTGATAGGGTTCATGGCCACGGCACCTTCTAAACAGAAATCAATAGTCGCATCCCATCTTGACCAGCAGCCAGAGCCCCTAACAGCCTCCTTTCGATGAAGCCAAGACTGCAAAGCGTGATGCATAAGGCCTATTCCAGCGCTCACCGGAAAACCTAAGCCGGACAACTCCGAAGTTGGGTTTTAAGCAGGGCTTCAAGCTGTAAAGCTCAGCTTTTCGGGCTTGGGGCTTAGATCTTAGGGTGTAGGATATTTTTACGGCTTGGAGGTTGAAAGCTTTTTCCGGGAGCAAATCAGGGATTGAACCTTCGATCCAAAGCAGGAGGTAGAGTATCCCGATCTGTCCCAATCATATTTGCCATAGTCTTCGTCTTCGTCGAAGTGTTAAGGTCCCGTTTTTCCCCACACCATTATCCCGGGTCCTAGAACTGTCCCACACATCCCTTTTCGATTGCGTTCTATGTCAAAGAGATCCCGCAAATCCCTGCTGCACCCAATGAAACAACAAAGCCCTTTAAGTTTTCTGTGAGACCCGGCAATTCAGAGATTGTTCGATATGTTCCTAAAGCCTGAACTACGAACCCCATTGGACCCTTTTCAGCTTCCTGTGGCAGTGGCATACTGCAGGAGCCCGCGATGAAGGCCGGTGCAATTTTTCGTTTCGAAGCTGAGATTTTAAGTACTGCTTTGCGAGATGTTGTTTCACCCTAAGGCTCCAAGTAACGCAGTCCTTAGTTGTGGTTTCTGTTCCCACTTAGGCTTCAAAGTGCGATTGTAAGCAGGAGTACGTGGACCCTTGGGGTAAGTCTTCTTATCAAGCTCTAGAGGGTTTCGGGGCTTTTCCTGGGGTTTGGGTTTTATCGGTTTCCTTGAATGCCCCAACCACCCCAAATGACCATGACCATAAAACCCTAAAAACTCTGTTCAGGGTACTTAGGGTAGAGGCCCTAAGCCCTAAGTCTTAAAGCCTTAAGGTTTAGCGCGTAAAACTTCCAGCTTTTTGCCGTCCCCTATCTTGCACTCTTTCGCCCGGGGGCAGAACCTAAGCTCCACAGTCTACTTTGGGGCTTAAGGTTTAGGCTTTAGAGCCCTTACCACTTTACAGTAATGTAGTGGCCTCAATAATTAGAATAGGATTTGGGCTCCTTTTATAGACAAACCGCAAGGAACCCTAAGGAATAGTATGGGAGCTTCCGAAAATTAGGGGTACCTAGTTTGGGGTCTTTATAATAAGGATCCTAGTATATAAGGTACTCTATTAGGGTCCCCCTATTTTCGGAAACTCCGATTTCAAGGCCTTCATAAAATCCCTAAACCCTAAACCCTGTGGCAGCTCCCTGGGAGCTTATGGAACCAAAGTCTAACCCGAAGTCTGATCGGGTTTAGGGCCTGCGTTATAGGGTTTACTGCTTAGGGTTTAGGGTTTAAGGTGGTTTATGGTTGAGGGTTTAGGGTTTAGGGTTTGAGGTGGTTCAGGGTTCAGGGTTAGGGTTTAGGGTTTAGGGCGGTTTAGGGTTTGGAACGTTTAAGCTTTGATGCATGTTATGGTAGCGAGGCAGAAAGCTGTCCGATAGTGTAGTTTTTGCTGTACTGTATGGTCTCGATTAGGATTGAGGCTACGAGGTTTCCAACTTTTTGACTATATAGTGCCCTAAACCCCGCGGGCCCTGCAGCTGAAAGGCCATTGCCTTACTCAATGGCATGCAGATCGGCAGCAGCACCATCCAGGCCTGCATGAGAGTTTGGAAGAGGCCCCTAAACCGGTTACCCTAAACCCTTACACACCCTCAACCCTAAACCCTACACCCTGAACCCGCAGCCCTAAACCCTAAACCCCTAAACCCGTAACCCTAAACCCTCAACCCTGAACTTTGAACACTAAGCCCTGAACCCCAAACCCTAAACCCCTAAACCCTGTGAGGCTGGTTAGCATGCATCGAAATTCTACGATTCGAACCCTAAGCTCTCAGCATAGCACTAGCAGCCCTTGCTTAGTAGGATCCTCTTAAGGAACATTGGGATCTCTACCTAGCAGCTCGTGAGTCAGGCCCGACTCTCTTTGGGATGATAGAATAACACCCCGTTAGAACCCAGAGACTCCAATATTCCTTAATTAAGGCTTGAGGATCCTACTATAATTTGCGGTCGAGACCTGCGTTAAGGGATATTGGAGTCTCTGGGAACTGTAGCTGTACACAATGAAGTCTAAATCAGGAATCCCCGATGTGAAGAAACAAGAAACTCCACGTGCCCAGCCTTCATCTCGCCCACCTCCAGCATGAGGAGCATGCTGCCGAAAGCAAGGTCTACGAGGACCAGTTCAAATCCATGGTGCGAGAGCTTCATGAAGCCGAAAAGAAGGCCATGCTCGAGACCGAAATTGCACAGGAAGCAATGAGCCAGCTGTGAAACACAGATGTGCATCGTGCCGAGCTGGAGCAGGAAGCCGCCCAAGCCAGGGCAGCTCGTGTTGGTGATGAAACGCATGCTGCCGAGCCTCCTGCTGGCGAGCCCAACACCATGTGATCGGCCCACTCAAAAGCTTTTCCATGGCCGACCCGAATACCCAGAGACTCCAAAATCCCTAAATTAAGGAATATACCTTAAATTATAGCAGTATCCCTAATGCGATTTAAGGTATAACCCTTAATTAAGGGATATTGGAGTCTCTGAATAGTTAAGTTTAGTCAACCCGACCCTTGAAGCACAGTGCCATGGCAGCCATTAAACGAAGTTTAGGGTTTAGGGTTTAGGGTTTAGGGTTTAGGGAGTGCTAGCCATTAAAAAGCCAGCCTCAACGATTGACAGCCACCAGTCGGTAGCCATTAAACAACTGATACCCCCAAACCCCAAGCCCTAAAATCCCCACCTGTTCCGGATCTCAGAGAGCATTCCCGGTGCCGAGCTGATGTCCCGGATCCTGCCATTCAGGGCCTGTGGGGTTTAGACAAAGTGATGGTAGTATAGGGGCCTAAATAACTATCTATACCATTTTCGGGGTTCCTTATTATATCTATAGTATAATGGGCCTCGAAACCCGATTCTAATTATTAAGGTCCCTAGATTTTGGTGTGAATGCCCGAGCCCACACAAATAGTGAGATCATGCAAACGGTTCATGCCTCGACCAAAACTGAGGATGTTTTCGGCGAGTGTGCAAGCATGTGTGTGTGTGTGTGTCATGGCTGGTTTTAGCCGAAACAAATACTTACTTTGCATCCTGTGCTACAAGCAAATCGGCATGCACTTTTGGGGTCTGGAAGTGGCTGCGGGGTCTGTTTTCGAGAATCCAACAAAAGTTGTTATTTGATACCTGTTGCACAGATACCCGTCTCAGAACCCATTGTTTGCTTAAGCTTTTCTTGGAATTCCTGAACAAGTCCGATGTCACACACATCCTGACTGGTCTTGCCGACATTTCGGACTACAAAACGTTTCTGAACACTGTTTGCTGATGGCATGTATAGACGGCAGCCGAGCTTACGCTTTCGCAGCCTGAGCAGTCCTCGCTGGATTCCCTGCGAGAGCAGTCGAGCAGCGGGCCATGGGGCTATCACCCTGCCGCGCGCCAGGCAAAGCCATCAGCTATTTGTTTTGTCCCAGACCGGAAGGGACCACGACCCTATAGAAGTTTGTCACATCGACGACGACAGACAAAGACAGTAATCAAAGCGTAGTGTGCATCGGAGGCTGTGCCTGTTTTAAGTTGTATCCGACTGTATCCGGGCAAAACATCACTGTGCCCTTACACCGCACCTCTATGTGCACGTCTATATGTATTTCTTCACGGTGACGCAGTACAATTGTGTCCCTGGCTTCCAGGCACGAGGCCGAACGCTCCGCCCATGTCAAGCACCCGCCGAACAACCTGCTTGTGAGTTTTTCACTTCACAGCAGCGGAGCCGCTAGATTAAGCCTGCGCTCCCCCAGGCCATTAGAGCTGCTTCAAAACACCAGACCCTAAACCAGAAGCCCAAAACTCGCAATCATCCGCAGACCTAACCTACTATAACCAAAAACCTTTGAAAACGGCGTAAATCAAAATGAATCTACAGAGCCACATAAAGCCCTACAGAGCCATAAAAGCGCCTTGTAGCACCCTATAGACTATAGACCCCCTCATGTATTCCAGTTCTAGTCCACTCAGCAAGGCCCCTAAGCGCTGGACACTTAAACCCCCACCCCTAGACCCTGAACTCGAACCTCGAGCACTACCTCAACTTTGCTCGGCAACCGACATAGGACCCTATAATGCCTCCTAAACCTTTTCGAAAGGAGCTTTTTACGTCATTGCTAAGGAACTTATTTCCCAGTTACCATGATAGTGAAACTCTCTTATTTACTGCAGATCCTTTACATGCTAACTTAAACCCCAAACCCCAAACCCTTAAAGCAAGCCTTCAAGATCTTTTAAGGGACCCTTACAGATCTTCACCCCCAAAACCTGCACCGTTATAGCAGTATCCCCTACAGGAACCTCTCTGGCAATTGAAGGCAGGTTCCTTAACAACTTTCTCTTCGAGACCCGTTTTAAGGAACCCCTTAAAGGACCCGTACTATGGTAACTTAGGGTAAGTTCCTTAACAAGAACACAGTCTTTGGGTTTGTTACTCTTGTTCTAGAGTCCTTTAAGGGGCTCTTAAAGGATCCCTCCCTTCGCAAGAACCCAGTCAGCTTAACATAAATCTTAAACCTTAGACATTTATGGCAACCCTGAAAGATCCTTATAGTGATACGTCATTCAGTACTGTAGATCCCTAATACAGTAAATTCCCTCATAGGTCTTAGACCCTAACCGACGCTACTTACCTTCATAGATACCTGATAAGAACCCTTGAAGGATCCCTGCCATGGTAATTTGAAGTAGGTTCCTGAACAAGAACCCAGTCTTCGGGTTGAACACTCTTATTCTAAAGGATCCTTTAAGGGATCCTTTAAGGGTTTCTCTACAAGGATCCTGTTAAAGGATTCGTTCCTTAACGATTTTCCAGTCTTTGGGGTCAGGTTCGCGAGGCGAAGTCCGAGGATCGCGAGCTCTACACCGGCTGCCAAGCACTCGGAGACCTCGAAGTTGAGGGGCTCCTTCAGGGGATCCTTTGAGGGTTCTTTTATGGGTGCCTTTTCGGGTTCCTTCAGGGGTTCCTTTAGGGGATCTTTTACGTGATCCTTTAAGGGATCCTCCCTAAACCCTAAACCCTAAACCCTAAGCTCCTTTAAGGGATCCTTTAAGGGATCCTTCAAAGGTTCCTTTACGGGAACCCTTAAGGGTTTCTATAGGGGATCCTACCCGAAGTTTATGGCTCCTTTGAGGGCTCTTTCAAGGGTTTCTATAAGGGGTCGTATCCGAAGATTAGGGGTTCTTCTAAGGGTTCCTAGAAGGTCTCCCAGAAGGGTTCTAGGAAGGTTTTATTCAGGACTTTAGGGGTTTGGGGTTCAGGGTTTTTTGATTCGGGCTTCGGGGGTTTAGGGCTTCAGAGGTTTAGGGTTCAGGATGTTGAAGCTGGGCTTCTAGGGCCCCTGGGGTTTTAGGGCTTCAGGGATTTAGGGGTCTGGGGGTTTAGGGGTTAGGGCGAGGGCTTCGAGGGTTTACAAGGTTCAGGGTTTCGGTTGTTTCTTCAATCCGCGGTTGAGAAGAGCACGTGTGCACGACGCAATCGTACATGCTTTGGAGTTTCTACACGTTGTTGGTCTGCAAAAGAGTTGGACAACTGAAGCTGCAAGGTTATCCTAGGGTTTGGGGTTTCAGGGTTCACGGCTAGGGTGCTAATTAGGTATTCTAAGTTGTTGTTTTGGTTTTGGGAGGGGCGGGGGTTGGTGGAATTGTCAGTTTAATAAGAGCTTCTAGGGTTAAAAAGGGGTTGTAGGAGTAAAGCTGTAGCGATGACCCCCGCGCCCTTCCCAGATAGCCTCGCCCGACTATTTCATCCATATCGCGGTGCCCTCATAGGGTTTAGGGTTCAGGGTTTGCCAAATTCGAAGGTTGCTCGGGGAGGTGCGAATGACTTTGCGCAAATCGCGAAAGCACTGTTGGTGTTTGATGTCTATCTCAGACTTTAATGTGAAGGAGGCGCCAAAGCGCCTGGTCTACTAATGGGAGTTCCTTAGTACAGTTCTGAGAAAATATATTCCAGAACCCCGTTCTAATTGTTAAGGCCCCTACATTAGATGTATCCCACGATGCTGATGACACTTTTCGCCGTTACCGAATGAAGATGGGCGTCATGCTGCTCGTGCTTTAGGTTTGGGGTTTAGGGTTTAGGGTTGAGTGAGGGCTGGATTCCATCCAAGTCGAAGCTTCGTTGCCATAGCTTCAGGCTTCGAGCAGTCTGGCCATATCTTGATCGTTCCGTCGTGTTGTGACACAGCATCGTTGCAACTATGCATCCGCCGTAACAGACTCACTTTAGGAGCCATGCTGAGGTGCGACCTGACATGCTCTCTGGGACGTTATTCCGGCTTCATACTTTAGGGTTAGATTGTACTAGGGAACGTTGTTATACCGGGGTGTAGACTTAGGCACGAACTGGGGTGTAAGGTTATGCAGCAATTTGGGTTTGGGGTTGACATTGCGTTAGTCAACGAATGGTGAGCCTACCACAGCATTACTAAGCACTAAGCATTACAAGCTCTACGAACCAGATCTTAAGCTCTGCACCTCACCCTCGCGTCCTAAGCCCTAAAAAATAATACTCTCCCGTGTATGCAGTAAACTCTGAACCCCAAAAGCCCCCACAGCAAAATCAAACTCCAGCTCTACAAGGTGCTTCATTATCCCTAACGGTCCGCCCAAAATATGTACTATTTGGGAACATGGACCCTGACGGCATGTGTCTCGTATAAACCCGCCCAAACTGGCAGTCCTGCAAGCCACAGAGACAGCGAGCTCTGGAGTGTGCCAAGGTCTTTACTCGCTGTCCACGGCTGCAACATGGCTTTAGTTGATTTTTAAGGCTTTAGGGTTTGAGGTTTTGGGGTTAAGGTGTGGGGTGCAGGGTTTAGTGTTCAGAGTTTAGGATGTAGGGTTGGTTCTTCGTGGGCTCTTGACCTTGACGGTTTCTATCTGGGCTGAACTTGAAGGGTTTCTGGGTTCTTTGCTGTAACGGTTCTGTGAGGTTTCTTGAAGGATTGTATCAGGTGTTCTTCTGTAGGTTATGCTTTTGGGCTTCTCGTTGAAGGGCTCGCGCTTTCGCGTTGTTGGGTTTGGGGTTGTTGATTCATTGGCTCGCCTACACCACCAAGCTGCCTATGCTGAGAAGGGTTTACGGATCTTATATAGGGGCCCAAATAATTACCAATATTGTGGTGGGGGCTCCTTCTTATAATTATAGTATGCTGGGGCCCAAAAACCCTGTTCCGACCTTCATCTTACAAAGCTCCCATCTTAGCCTTCTCTGTCTTGCTACGCCTCCCGGGCAGAGTCGCTGATGTTGTTGAGGCTTCATCCTCTTGCTGTGCATCTTTTGATGGGTCTACTACCAGTCCACCTGGCTAACATCGAAGCCTGAATAATTACCAAGAGGGTTGCTTACCTTAAGCCGGAATAACCTACCTTTTAAAGGATTTATATAAGGAAATCATAATAAGGAACCCTAAAAAGGTAGGTTATTCCGGCTTAAGGTAATTATATTAGATTATAGTATATACTAACCTCGAAACCTCGATCTCGCAGTGTTTCAATGCCTCTCCAGGAAAGTCGTAAACGCAACCCTCGACCCTAAACCTTCAAGCCACAGTGAGAATGTCTCTCTCTCTCTCTCTATCTCTCTCTATCTCTCTCTATCTCTCTCTATCTCTCTCTCTCTCTCTCTCTCTCCCCTTCATCTCCACCAAACCGGAGTTCCAGATTCACGATCTCGGGTTAGGCCCTAGACTTGTCTTTTCCCAAGTGTGTTTACGATCACGGTGCGTGATTTTAAAAACGTGTTTAGAGTTTTTACGCAAAGAGTTATTGTTGAGTGGGCGTAGCCATCGTTGACTCGTATCAGCTGAACTCATCGCCTCAGGTAAAGCCTGAACCTCAAGTTTCAGTTGCGAGAAGGATTGGGGGCCCCGATATAGACACCTCCCCCAAAAAACACAGAGGTAGCATCCTCAGTGCAAGGGACTCCAACGCCCCTTCATTGAGGAATATACTTCACCTGGACCCTAGGGAACCTACTTTTTGGGGTTCCCTAATACGATTTCATTTTGCAAGTTCTTAAAAAGGTAGGTTATTTGGGGTTAAGGTAAACCATATTGAGGTGTTGAGTTAGGGTACCTATGCTCCTAAACTGCAAGTTGCGGACGGAATGTCTAGGCCCCCTTAAGCTACATTTTTGTTTGCGCAGCCCGTCAAACCCTGGTCCCCTAGGGCCGAGGAAGTCTAAACGCTTTTTGGGTTCTGTTTGCGAGTTTCCAAGCAGGGGGTTCCTTCGTCTGGGGTCCTTAGAATACCTGGACCCTAAGGAATGTACATTTTGTAGGGTTCCCTAATATGATTTCTTTTTGTAAGGTCTTTAAAAAGTAGGGCATTAGGGGTTAAGGTGCTACTATGTTGGGCACTAGATTAGGGTCCCCTAGTTCGGAAACCCCCATTTAAGTTTTACGAATAGCAATGACAAGAACAATCGCGACGGCCACAGTAGCAGCAATAGCGACATTCAACAACAGGCACAAGCACAATATCAGCGGCAATTGTAGTTCGCAGCAACATAGAAAGCATTTCTGTTTATGCACATGACAACGACGTACATGAGGCTAGTTGTGGGTGAATCGCTCTTTTCAGTTTTTGATGAACGTGTATTTTGTTTATTAACTTAGGGAGACCGGAAATTGAAACCCGACACCATATATTGTAATTATTCTCGTAATTCAGTTTCGTTCCTTGACAAGAACCAAGCTTGGTCTGAGGTGAGTGCTGTCTGCCCCACGGAGGGGATAAGGTGCCTTCGGTGTTCGGTCGTGCCAGTGCAACGCAGCAACTACAACAGCTGCTGCTTCTTTCCTAGTACTATTACTATGGTGGATGGGGGAAATCTTACACCACCTGCACACACTGTTTCGAGTACACATCCAACCAACAACCCCGCGCTCCCGTTTTTAACGTTGACGACAGATCTCTTAGGGCGGTGCAAGATTTATGTCATTTGGACGATTTTGTAAAACCCCGTGTTCATAGCAATGTTAAGAAGGGCGCGCGGGGTGAAGCTACATAACATATCTTAAAATCGGTGCACTAGTGCCACTACTACTACTACTACTACTACTACTACTACTACTACTACTACTACTACTACTACTACCACTACTACTACTACTACTACTACTACTACTACCACCACCACCACTACTACTACTACGGCTACTGCTACTGCTACTGCAAGTGCTGGTGCTAGTGTTAGTGCTACTGCTTTTACTACTACTGCTACTGCTGCTACTGCTGCTACTACTACTACTGCTACATCTTTTCCTACTGCTACTGATAATGTTGCTACTGAGACTACTGCTGACTCCTACTCCTGCTCCCACTAACCTACTAAAGCTGCTGCTGCTTCTGCTGCCCCTGCTACTACCACTACTGTTGCTACTACTACTACTACCACTACTACTACTACTACTACTACTACTACTACTACTACTACTACTACTACTACTACTACTACTACTACTACTACTACTACCTATACCTACTACCGCTACTGCTACAACTCCTGCTGCTGCTGCTGCTGCTACTACTACTACTACTACTACTACTACTACTACTACTACTACTACTACTGTTACCACCTCTACTACTACTTCTACGAGCACTACTACCTACTCTACGACTACTACTACTACTACTACTATTACCACTACTACTACTACTACTGCTACTACTACTAGTACTAGTACCATACTAGGACTTCCGCTCTTGCCACTGTTGCTGTCTCCTGGCTTTGAAGGCCGATTGAGTCTGATTGGATGGGCCCTTCCCACGACACGTATCATAGCCGCCCGTCGGCAAAGTTGGGCTTGGCAGACAAGGGTTGCTTTAAGGGTTTGTGGTTCCTTTAAGGGTCTAGGGTTTAGGGTTTAGGGGTTAGGGTTGCCGGCTTAAGACTCGCGAATTGGGGTTTTGGTTTAGGGTTGAAGGATTAACGGTTTCAGATCCAACCTTGGGTCGATGCTCTCTTACGACTCTTTAGAGCGCATGCATATGTCGCCACACGGGGGACAGCCCTTTCATGTCAGAGTTGAGCTGAAGGTTGAAAGCTCGAACCCTAAGCCCTAAACCCCCTAAGCCCTAAAACCCCGAAACCCTAAACCCTAAAGGTTTGGGCCCGGAAAGCCGTTGCTTGTGAAGGCCAGGGGAGCAAGCCAAAAAAACCAGCGAAGAATGAAGAAGGTGACGAAGAAGCCGTGTAGATCTTCCTTAAGGGATTGTGATTTGGCTTTGAGGGCTTAGGGTCCATAGGGCTTTTGTTAAGCTTTGAAGCTGTCATGCTGCAGGCTGGGAGGGCGCCGACTACGAGAACTGGAAGCAGCCGCAAATGAGCTGAGCCGCCAAAGCTTGGAAAGTATGCCAACTTCCTAGCCCTCAAGCCGCAAAAGCCTCGCTATTCTATACCTCCTCGTGTCAAACATTACAGCTGAGTCTGTAGGAGGCGCTAGAAAGCGTTTGTAAGGGCTCTTTAGCGTTTTCTACGGCACAGGGGTTTGGGTCAGGACATCGGGGTCTAGGGCTCCAGGTTTAGAACTTGAGCTTTTGACAGGGCTGCATACTGCGCATTTAATGAGTCTACAATCCTGTCATAGTCAGGATTTGTGTTTCTTTGGTTTAAGGCTTTAGATGGCTTTGGGGCATAGTGTTCGGGGTGTAGAATGTACTGACCGAGCCAAGGGGAAATGTTTGAGAGATCTCCGATTTTCAAGTGTTGATGTATAGAAAGAAGATTATTTGGGGCTCCAGTGTTTGTCTTGCTTAGAGATAAGGGGGTTTCTTAGGTTGGGTCTTCGGGGCTCTAGGGATTAAGGTGCAGGGCCGAAGGCTGGGGGAAAGTTCCCAGAGCCTCCAAAGTCCCTTCATTAAGGAATACCTAGGGCTCCTTTAAGGGATCCTTTAAGGGATCTATAAGGTTTAAGGTTTAGGGTTTAGGAGACTCCAATATCCCTTAATTAAGGAATATACTTTAAGTTATAGTAGGATCCCTAATATGATTTAAGATATATGCCTTAACTAAGGGATTTTGGAAGGTCTAGGGTCTGGATGTAAGAGGATGAGCGTTTAGGGGTTGCGAGCTCTGTAGCCAAAAGCCTGCGGCAGAGACTCCATCGCTGCAAAAAGGGTTTTCAAACTAGAGTATGCAGTAAATCGAAGGCTGACACATTTAGGCTGCGAGATTTAGGGAGATACATGGAGTTAGTACCCATGACGAGTTTCCATTTCAAGCAGCGAACCAAGATGCGACATTCGAATTGTGACTAGGGAAGCACCGATTGGAGAATTTGACGTGCCAGGCAACCGAGAAAGGGAGCCGGACACATTAACGACTTGTTCAGCTTTCGGATGGCCTGACCTGTGGGTGAAAAGGAAGCTTCCGTTTTTAATTACACTGCACCCCAGGACCTCAAATCCTTGTATAACCCAGCGCCCATAGCCATAAACCCCAACCCCAAAACCACAAATGCGCTGCTACGTGAATCGCGTAAACACTGAGACGGGCACGATTCGCGCAGTTCTTCTGTCATCAATCATCATGACGTTGCGTAAGCATGTAGAAGTGCATACCAGCACCCATTACCCCTTATATCTCGATTTGAAAGTTCACATTTTTGGCTTATGAACTCAGCAACTAAGCCCATGATCCAGGCATGCATGATGCACCTGGTTGAGCGTTTGCACTTTCGGTTCTACTCCCCGAGTTTCTTCCGTTCAATTGAAAAGCGCAGTAGCATGGAGCCCTCAACAACTAATGGGCTTCTTACGGGCTTTCCTGCCGGTTTAGGGTTCGCGGTTTGAACTTAGGGCTTATAAGGGGATGTCTTTGGCTTCATGATTGGGGCTGGGTTCTCAAACTGTTGACGAGCTTGTATCGGGGAATCAAAACAGGTGCCTAAAAAATATGCTAAGGTTTGGGAGGGGTGCGGTATATTGTAGTGTAGGAATGGGGAGGTTCATGGGCAGCAAAAGTGCACGCCATCATATTCTATCATGAACCGTGGATCGAACTGACTGTCCGACTTGATCACCGCGATGTAGATGCGGTTGATGATACAAATCCTGCATTATCCATAATAATAAGGAATATACCATAATTCCCATGGTTTAGGGTCCTTAAGGTAATGCGGGATTTATATCATCCACCGTATTGATGGCCGATTGCACATTGTGGGTACAGATGACCACGACTAACACGCCAACACGCTTGTTGCTAACATCGAAACGGGCATCTTACTTGTCCAGGAGCACTGAGTATGTCAGCGTGTCAATCTTAATAATACGGCCTGATCGTCCCTACATCACACGTATATAACATGCTACAAATGCAGTGCCCCAAGTCTTATTCTAGCCATTAAAACACCTATGCTACCACCCCGGAAACCCGAAACCCTAAACTTAAGCCACTACATTCTGCAGAATTTGGCTCTGCAATCTTCGAGCATTTTTTTTGCTTCTGCTACGCCCTTCTGAACAGCCGCTTGCTGAAGAAGCGAAGCGAGTTTAGTAATTTGGGGTCTCGGGTTGGGGTCTCAGGATTAGGTCTCAGTTTCTTGTAGGTGAGTTCTAGTTGGTACACGCCAGATTCAAGTTTCAGGGAATGCTCGATGATTTTTTTTGGGGTCTTCCATTTGAGTCATCAGGGTGCATCGTTCGAGCTTTCCATCCTGTGGGTGCCCAGAACGTGAGGTTGGGTTGTGTTTCGCACGGGTATAGATTCGAGGGTGTTCAGGTCTACTTGGGTTCATGGGACGTAAGGTTACTTGGAGGGTCATGTGACTTAGCATTATTCATGCTCTAAGTGGGGTTATAGGTATTCATAAGTATAGTTACACTAGCGCTAACCCCAGTTACTAAGTCCCATAATCCTTTAATTGAGCGGGGCTGTGGTTCAGCGAATCGAACGGCTTGACGTGTCGAAGTATGGGGCATGGCAGTTTATAAACCCGAAGTCTGTCGCCGGCAATTCTCGAGGCTGGCAGTCGTTCAGCTTCGTTACCGAAACCTGGGTCCTTCTTATATGTCTAGGGTTTGGGGTTTTGGGTCTCGTGCGCCAGACCTACAGTAAACTGTAAGCTTTGAAGAAAAACCCAAAGTCCGAACCTGAACCCGACGCCCCACGGTTTAGAGTTTAGAGCTTAGGGTTTAGAGTTAGGGTTTAGGGTTTTTTAGAGTTTAGAGTTTAGGGTGTAGAGTAGGGTTTAGGGTTTAGAGTTCAGGTTTTAGTGTTTGGGGTTTAGAGTTTAGAGTTTAGGGTGTAGAGTTTAGGGTTTAGGGTTCAGAGTTTTTAGGGTTTAGGGTTTAAAGTTTTTAGGGTTTAGGGTTTAGGGTTTAGGGCGAACCTCAAACCCTTAAACCATTGAACTTGCATTGGACCCAGGTCTAAGCGGCGCAGCCTTCTGCGACCTGTCCGGCTTATTCTTGGGTTCCAAGGAAGGGAAACGGACTTGTTTCCTCTCCGAGTTTAGGGTTTGGGACGTCCAGTTTAATACAATTTTTGTATCGAAGAAGGAATTGGCTATGAATTGAAGTTTATAGGGTTAACGGCCAAGGGTCTCAGGTTTGGGTGCAGTTAGGATTTAGGGTCTAGGGCTTTCTGGTGCGAAGAAAGGCCTAGCAGCAAGGTATGTGTACCAGTGCTAGCAGTGGGGGTACCACTATTTACTACCACTACTCCTCCTCCTACTGCTCCAGCTCCAGCTACTGCTAGAGTTACTGCTAGTGCTACCGCTACTGCAACCGCTACCGCTACGGCTACTGCTACTGCCATTGCTGCTGTTACTGCTACTTCTACGACCACGACATACCACGACCACCACTACTCCTACTATTACCACTGCTACTGCTACTACCACCACCACCGCTACTACTACCACTACCAGTACCTCTACGACTCTACGACGACGACGACTACCACTACTGTTTTAAATACTGTTACACAGGAGCCTAAATACTGAAGACTCAAACCCGAAACTCTGGAACCCCGATTGCCAAAACTGCCGCCTGAGGTGTGCATTAGAAGCTGCCCCCACCCTGTAATAGTGACTACAAGGATTATATTAGAGCCCTACTATATTCCTATTATACCACTATTACAGGGTGGGGGCCCCTTCTAAGGTGTGCAGTTCCATTGTCGGCCAAAGTTCGGGGCGGCCAGCAATGGAAAGTCATCGCGGCATCAGGCCGGGTATTTTACTCACGCGATCAGGAGCTTGGTACACGAGGTCATCATTTAGATAGCTCTGGTTGCGGCTACTTGATACCCAAAGTAAGGTACTTATGTCTTGAGGCTACATATACCTATGCACGTTGAACCTTTCAAAGCAACCTTGCACCCTTTCATTGCAGAAAACCGGCTGAAGTAGCCATACTTGCCCGCCCTCACAGGGTTTCGAGTTTAGGTCTAAGTGTTTCGGGGCTAGAGTTTAGGAAACATAACTGTTGGCCGGTGGGTGTTGTTGGTCTTCTTGAGTTTGATAGGTTAAGCCTCTACAAATATTCGGGCAGTGGCTTTGGTGTTTCAGAATTCTGAGGGTTGGGGGCATAGGGTTCCATGTATGCCGGCATAGAAGCTTGAATAATTGCCGGTAGGATTCTTTAGGATTCCTGATTCCTGGGTATACACCCCCAAACCTTTACTTCCAGCCATCAGGGCCCCTATATTATATAACCCTTGTAGTACCTAACCCTATAGACCCCTCCACGTGGAACCCTTATTACAGGAACCGTCTTTCGACTTATGATTAAGTTAATGCCCCAATCTCAGAAGTTCTCCAGATGAGGCTATCGGCCTTCGCATGGAATGAAGACATGATCTGCACGCCCCAAAAGCTAGGAATCCGGAAGCGCAGACCCTAACCGTAGACTCTAGGCCTGGGACCTAAACCCCGAACCCCAAACTTGAAACAGCGAAGCCCACCTGGAATCCAATGTCCCAAGCCCAACATTTCCCTAAACAAGAACTTTCAGCAGTCAGTTGGGCCCAAGACCATGAGGTAGGGGTTTAAATTACTGTTGTTGATATAAATCCTGCATTACCCATAATAAGGAATGTACCATGATTCCCATAGTTTAGCGTCCTTAAGGTAATGCAGGATTTATATCATCCACCGCATTAAACCCTGAGCCCTTGGAAAAGATCCCTTCGAGATCGCCGAAAGCATCTTGAAACCTTTCGACTTTTCTTCTGAAAGCCTATTCTAGTCATTCCGGCCGCTTCGTCCGTTCGAAGCTCTAATAATTAAAACTCACAAAGCTCTGTAAAATCCCGCAAGCACACACCAAGACATCCGGCGCCATCTGCGAGCGATAACACCACTAACGACCCTTGTTTCAACCCTC